AATTCCATATTAAAAAAAAAAAAAAAAAAAAAAAACAGAAACCTTGATTAGGAATTAATAATGCAAATTACTGGATTTTAACAAAATTACTGGATTATTTTAACAAAAATTACTGATGTAATCATGTAAATTACTGATGCATTTACAAGATTACTGGATTTTAACAAAAATTAATCATGTAAATTAGGAATTTGGGAAGAGAAATTTGAGGGAAAAAACGCAATGTAAGTGTAGAGTGTTTGGAACAATTTTTTTCTTTCTTACCTTTAGTCCCGTAGAGAGGTGTCCCTTCGAGCTTCCAACTTGGGCATTTTTTATCGAGATTCAAATCGAGGGAGTTGAGAGTGGAGTGAGATCCGGAGCACGAAACTCGCTGCTGCTCGTCACTCCGACAAAGGTTGTCGTTCACCCTCCTCACTCTGCGAAGGCCGTCGTTCACCCTCCTTCACTGAATGCGAGTAGGGATTTTGAGGATTTTGGTTTGGTGATTTTAGGGATTTTGGCTTCAGATGGATTTTGATTTTGAGGATTTTGGGGATTTTAGGGACTTTGGGACGCATGACCGTGAATGGGATAGAAATGAGCGGGATATCAAATATTTATTTTTTTGCGACGGCATATTTCAACCGTCGCAAATGGTACACAATTAACAAATAAAAACGACGTCGTTTTACCCATATTTGTTTGCGATGGGCTTTTGCCGTCACAAATGGTCCACAATTTGCGACAGTAACTTCTTACTGTTGCAAAATAATATTTTTTGCGACGGTATACCGTGCGTCGCAAATGTTCTTGCATTTTTCTCTTATAATCATTAGCGACGAAGGTCAGCCCCGTTACAAAAGGTCATTTTTCTCGACGGAAAATACACGCCGTTGCAAAAGACTTTTTTTCGCAACCGCAACTATACTGCGTCGCAAAAAAACCATTTTTTGCAACGACAATTACCCCGTCACAAAAACCTCCGTGTTATTTGCCCTGTTTTCTTGTAGTGAACATTTTTATTTTATTTTATGCAAAATTAAAAATGTTGTGTATGTGTATTTTTGATTGGTTTATCTAGTATGTACTTTGTTTTTTATAACGGTAAAATGTTACTATGAGACAGAATATGTTATTGTCAAATAGAATAATATATTACTATTTATGTTAACGGTATTTTTTTATTTTTTATTTTTTATTTTTTAAGAATTTCATAGTCAAATGGATCTTGTTTGATACATCTTGACAAGAGGATTATAAAACACTAATTTTATTAAAAATCGACATTTAGATCAAAAGTTAAATTATTTTAAAGTTTAAAATATTAAATTAGGGGTGTTTTCGAAAATAGTTTAAAAGCCAATTTTTTGACTTTTTTTGTTTCTTTTAAAAAAATGAGCAAAAAAAAGTAGAGAAGTGATGTGATCAAAAAAGTCAAAAAGTTAAAAACATCTAACTTTTAACCCAGATGCCAAAATAAGTATATTTTGATAATAGTGGTACGTGTTGAATTTTTTAAGAAAAAACTTTTATGCTTGTCATTAATATGTTAAAGTTTTATTATGAGAGGGTTTTGACCAAATCTCCAAGTCAAAAAAATTTAAAAAGCCAACCCAAACGAGCTTTTTAGCAGGAGCTAATTTTATAGCCGTTTTGGAAACAGACTATTTTAGTAACTTTTTAACTTTTTACGAAAATATGTGCAAAAAAATAAAGAGAGAATGATGTAACAATTTATAGTGGCTTTTTAACTTTTTGATTAAAACTGAAGGTTGCCAATCGATCGTTTGGGAACAGCGTTTTACCATTTTTTATTTGGAAGTGGTGGTTGTGAAAGAAAAAGTGAAATAATTATGATTTAGATATAATATTTAATTTTATTGACTTATTTAGCATATTTTATCTTTTTGTACTTATTTAAGCAAAAAAAAGTTGTTGCCATAGTCTACATTATTCTTATTAAGTTTTTTAATGAATTTTATGGAAGAATAAATTTTTTCATATTTTTCTGATGTGTTATGCATTTTGTATTAAAATTTAAAAATAACAAATTTATGGCATATATCCTAAAGCTATAAATGACAAATTTATGCCACTTTGTGTTAAAAATTAAGATATATATATATATATATATATATATTTTTTTGGTAGTGAGTAAAAAATTGTAATTCGTGTTTGCTATAAAATTTATAAACTTTTGTCATGTTTTTATGAGATACATATCATAAATCTTACTGTTTTAAAATATTAGACTATTATTTAATTTTTAATTATTTCAAAATATTAATTCCTTTTCAAAAATCAATGACTAAAATAAAATGAATTTAAATTCTCCAAAAAAAAAATCAATATTTTTGAAGTGTAATAATTATACTACTAAAAAAAGTTAGGCTTTGTTTGGTTGGTCTGTTTGACCATAATTTTACCCCTTCACGTGAAGCCTATGTTTGTATGGAGTTTTCAAATATTGATTCCACCACACATTTCAAAACACAGTTCTGTTTCACGTTTGGCAAAGCTCCTTTGAATACAAAGCTCCCACATTTTCTTACATACCCGGTTATTCGCTCGGTTGACTGGAACAGTATTTTTTATTTTATTTCATTTTTTTTATTTTTTGCAATTGCCAATTGCCATATGTTATTTGGGGGAAAAAAATTATATTTGTTTTTGACATTTTTATAATATATAAATTATTTTTTTAGACCAAAATGACAAATTATTTTTTTGAATTGAATTTTAAAAAAAGTTTGGTTATGAGTTTTGAATAGAATTTTTAATAGAGTTTTGAGTTGTGTGTTTGGTTATGAGTTATAAGTTTTTCAATTAAGTTTTGAAACTCTTTTCAAAATTTATAACCAAACAACTTTTCTCATTTCATATGTCACATCAAAAATTCAAAACTCAATCCAAAATTCATAACCAAATAAATTTTCTCTTTTCAAATCATAATTCTAAAATTCACAAACTCGAAATGCAACTCTATTATCAAATCATAATTCTAAAATTCTACCAAACGCTACCTTATATTCTCCAAAAGGCACTAGTATTTTGGGATGGAAGGAGTATATGTTTTGGATAAATACATTTATGGTCTTCAAAATATCTGTTTTTTGTCATTTTGATATTTTAAGTTTCAATTTTATCAATTTCGTCCTTAAAAAATTCAATTCGAGTCAATTATGTCTGATTCCAAAAGGACCGTCTAAATAGTTAACGAAATGGTAATAAAATGCACACATGATTAACGAAATGGTAATAAAATGCACACATGATTTTTAAAGTATATCTTTTGTGTTACTTTAGTCCCTAAAATTTTTTATTTTGTCAATTTAATCTAAAACATTAATAAAAAATAATAATAATAACATAATCTTACAATATTGGGGACAAAATTGGCAAAATTAATTCTTTATGGACTAAAATAACACAAAACATATCATTTAGAGACATAGTTGAAATTTATAATTATTTCATTAACGATTTAAACAACAGTTCAAAATTAAACTAATTTGACTCAAATTAATAAATTTAAAAATAAAATTTATACAATTAAAGCTGGAAAGTTTAAAGTGACACAATATGTATATTTTGAAGACCATAATTGAATTTTATCCATATCTTTTTAAAACTGCACATAACAACCTTCCCTTATCCTTACTATTATTAAGATTGACACATTAGTCTTGTTTTGGTCTGTTTTGTTTCAAAGCAAAAAACCGTTTGAAAGGAAGGCAGAACAAAATAATAATAATAAACGTCAAGTTCTGTCCTTTGACAATAAAAAAAACATAAAATTCAAAACGCTGTCGTAGCAGCTCACAGCCCTCCCCCATTTTTAAGAATATAATTACGGATCATTTTATGATAAATTCTCTTTATAAGTGTTTTATTTCATCTAACTCATATTCTTCTTAAGTATTCCATTAAGTCCTATGTATTGTAATATGACCTAATCATCCTTTCTAATTTTTTGCACATGTTTTTATTTTAAAACTAATACATAACAATAGTTCTTTATTTTATGGAGAAATTTTCTCCCTCATTCTAAAAAGAAAATATTTCTCTTATTCCATGAAGGAAATCTCTCCCCTCATTCTAAGGAGAAAATCTCTGCCACATTCCATGGAGAAAACCTCAAATTATGAACTTTAAACCTTTTTATAATTTGAAAATTTTAAAAATGACGCGACAAAAAATCTAAATGAAAATAAAAAATATAATGTGAATGTTCACAGTAAACATACAACTAACTTTTGAAAAAATAAAACACATACTAAAATATAATGTAATTAACATACACTACAAGAAATTACACTTTTGGCGACTAAATTTTTAGTCGCCAAAAGTCCTATTTTTAGTCGCCAAAAGGTTTTCCCGACTAAATAGTTTGGTCGCCAACTTGGTCGTTGAAAGACAGTCGGTGAAGGTATTGGCGACCAAAAAAAATTTAGTCGCCAAAAGTCTTAAATTGGCTACTAAACAAGTAGTCGCCAAAAGTAAAAAGTATTGGCGACAAAAAAAACTTTAGTCGCTGAAAGGGTAAATTGGCGACTAATTTTTTAGTCGCCAAAAGCTTACAATTAAATTTAACATCACATTTTCAGCTACTAAAATTTTTGTCGCCAAAACTTTTTTTTTTTTCGCTACTAAATTATTAGTCGCCTAAAGTCTTTTTTTTAAATGGCTACTAAATGTTTAGTCACCAAAAGGTTTGTTTCCATTTAATTCTTTTTTTAGCTACTACCTATTTAGTCACTAAAAGTATTTAACTTCATTTTTGGCTACAAATTGTTTAGTAGCCAAAAATATCATTTTATATTTTTTTTTATTTTAATTAATTTGTCCACAACCTGTATGTATCCCACGCAACCCGTAAGAGATATACAAACAAAACAATACATACATATTATCACCCATTCCACAACACGCATTTCACTTACAACCATCCAAAAAAGAGAATAACTTTTTTTTTTGAACAAAAGACAAAAGAACAAAACAAACAGCAGCAAGGCAAAATTGCAGCTGAAGGCCTGAGAATTAGCACAACAACAATCCTAACATCAATCCAAACATCAACACCCGCTGAAGGCCTGAGAACAAATCCCAGGGGGGGAACAAACCTTCCTGCAATAAACTCAAGTTTGGCGAGGAGCCAATCAAACACCCGAACTCCAAAATTGAAAAACTGAACAAAAGACAAAAGAACAAAACAAACAGCAGCAAGGCAAAATTGCAGCTGAAGGCCTGAGAATTAGCACAACAACAATCCTAACATCAATCCAAACATCAACACCCGCTGAAGGCCTGAGAACAAATCCCAGGGGGGGAACAAACCTTCCTGCAATAAACTCAAGTTTGGCGAGGAGCCAATCAAACACCCGAACTCCAAAACTGAAAAACTGAACAAAAGACAAAAGAACAAAACAAACAGCAGCAAGGCAAAATTGCAGCTGAAGGCCTGAGAATTAGCACAACAACAATCCTAACATCAATCCAAACATCAACACCCGCTGAAGGCCTGAGAATCAGCATTAGTAGCTGCATACATGACATCAACAACAATCCAAACTCCATGCCAAAACCAATTTCCTAACAAGCATATACCAAACAGAGCAACTCTGCAATTCTGGAGCTTCCTGCACAACAATTTTCTGGGCCTGAGAATCTGCACTAGTAGCTGCGAGTTCCTTCTTAACCTCTTCAGTCTTAGGCTGTTAAAAAAATTCACAAAATAGTGAGATTCACATAAAATTACAGTTTTCACCCACTTTATAATATGGCATTCACTAAAATAATATTCCAAAAATTAATACCCACTTTGAAGTGAAAGTGACTAACTGAAATAAGAACTTGGTATTCTACAGCTCAAATGAACCGATAGTTATGATTTTCCTCAAATGTTCCGCACTAACAATGACCAAATTTAAGCTAAGGAATATGCATGACATTTTTCTTCAGAAAATATGTACACACATAAAAACTGGAGAGCATTTGTGTGCCTAAAAACAAGTAAACCTCATTTTTTTGCTAGTCTCTATGCAACCATAAAAACTGGAGAGCATTTATGTACACATATTTGTTTGTACCTTATAATATGTTTGTCAGTGTGTCAGTTTAGCTTGTGTCAATTTGTATCTTCATGTTGGATAGGGGGTCACAAATAAAGGGAGGGTGTGAGAGCTTAAAAATGTGTTGGGCTTATTTCCAAATAGGTTAAGCTTTTAGAGCAACTAGTTACATTACAAAAATGTGTTGGGCTTATCTCCCTATATATATTTTAATTTTTTTTATTATTTATATATTTATAATAGAATTGGGATGTTCCAATTAGTACATTGCTAAGGTCAAGGAACCTTCATAATGTCAGAACAAAGGGACGAGTTTCAGACAGCAAGAAAACATTAATTATTATAATTATATTATCATTATTGCTATTATTTTTATTATTAGTGTATGATAATTGTATTGTATTCAATGTTGGAATGTGTTTAATGGAAATAAATAATTAAGAAAAAATGTAGTATTTTTAAAAAAAAGACTTTTTTAGTTTGAATGTTTGCTCACAGATAATTAGAAGGTAATATAATGCTTTATATAATAAAAATAATGTGTTTGTCAAAATTATGTAGATAAGTCATAGAACTCAAAAATGCAGTATTGGCATGTTGCCTCATAACACACAGAATACAGTATTGCCAGCATTGCAATATATACACTTTTCGTGAAGGATTTCTGTTTGTAATATTTTTTGGTAAGTTGATGGATGTGTTGGTTCGTGTAGTAAGTTGTGCTAATCATATTGGTGCAGCAACAACAACAACAACAACAGTATGACTGATGAGTTTTGTTAGTAGTAACTTTGAGACGTATCATGTACGTTTTGTTAATGTCTGTTATGTACCTCTTCATGGCCATGGATGACAACAAGCTCGTGGCCAGGTGATGGGGTAGGGCTCTGCTAGTCCTGCACCCACTTGAAACTCTTCGCCTGAAACTGTATCCCATGACCATGCCCCCAGTTGAACTTTGATGTCTGTTCTGGCACTAGCCTTGTTTTACCATTTTGGGAGAGGAGTGAAGAGAGGTTAGTCATAGGAGGGAAGAAAAGAACATTCTTTCCACTGCTTGTTTGCCCATATGCAAAAATACTTGGTGAAAGGAAAAATTGTAGAGGTGAAAAACTTTCACTTCATTCAAACAATTAGTAAGATTATGACAAGAAGAAACCAGAACATGGACTGCTCTTGAAGGCTGTTCCGGAACAAAATGGTAGTCTCGTTGATGCATTCCCAATCTGAGACTTCATTCCTCGCAATCTCCTTCTCACTCAGAGGCCTCAATCTAACCAATACAAGAATCTTCTGCTCACTACCACCACTCACCACTCCTTGCATCTCCTCCCACTTAGTCAACTCTTCCCCACCACCTAGTCTTAATAAACATATCTGAACTTCCCATAATCAAATTTTAATCAGTGGCGGTGTGACAGAAGGGCTACACTGATACTCGGGTTGAAGCCCAAGAAATTTTGTAATTGAAACCAGTGAATTCAAGGGAAGTCAGAGGGTCAAACTGTAATTCACCCAAAATTAAATAAGACTCTTTCTCTCCCCCCCACTATCAGTGTAAACAGGGTTTATGGCAAGGACAATGACTTCAAACAGTATACAAATTTTGTTTATGCACTTTGAAAATGGCCTAGCTTGCTTTCTTTTAAACTTTACTCTACAGTCCTAGAAACACTCAATACAGGTCCAAAGTAGTAAGAATGGCAAAGCAGATAAAAAAAACATTCAAATCTTCAAGCACAGGGCTTTAACAAAGATACAAAAAAACCCAATTTTTTTTATAAAAAAAAACATACAAGGGAAAGGGAAAAAAACAGAGATAATCAACAGAGAACCAAGCATTTGTGTGTGTGTACCTATCTATCAATGAGAAGAGAGTACAGAGAGAGCTACCCAGATGGAATAGGATCAAACCCTGAAGAATAAAGAAATAATAGAAGCAAATAGGAGAAAGAGAAAAGAGCTCACATTCACCAGAAGAAGCAGTAAATACTGATAAAAGAAGAAGAAGCAGCAATAGACCCATTGATTTTTAGACTTTCTTATTAGCTCCAAACTTTCAATCTTCGAAAACCATAGAAACCCACTGATATGAAATCTCAAAGAAACGAAAAAACGAATCTGTGAAGATCGGCGGAGGAGGAGGAGGCGGCGGCGTGAACAGATCAGCGGTACTCACGATGACGATGGCGATGGCGATGGCGATGGCGAAGGAGGAGGAGGGGCACCGGTTTTCGTCGAAGGCTAAGAAGTGCGGCAGTGAGAGAGGGAGTGGAGAGGAGTAACGTAGACGGGGAGGGAGAGGGACGCCGCAAAAATAGAGAGAGAGAGAGAGAGAGAGAGAGAGAGGCGCAGATTATATTAGGGTTTGGTTTGGTACAAAATATATATATATACCATTTTATACAATTAACGACTAAAATACCTCATGGTCGCCAATTACTGATATGTTACACTATTAGCGACTAAAAACTTTAGTCGCCAATTACTTTTACTTTTTTTGCCGAAAATAGAGAGAGAGAGAGAGGCGCAGATTATATTAGGGTTTGGTTTGGTACAAAATATATGTATGTACCATTTTATACAATTAACGACTAAAACACCTCATGGTCGCCAATTACTGATATGTTACACTATTAGCGACTAAAAACTTTAGTCGCCAATTACTTTTACTTTTTTTTTTTAATTTTACATTTGGTGACTAAATATTTTAGTAGCCAATACCTAATATTTTGGCGACTAAATTAATTTTTGGTCGCTGAAAATATGTTTTGGCGACCAAACTTTTGGTCGCCAAAAGATAAAAAATAAATTTTTAATTTTACATTCAGCGACTAAATATTTTAGTAGCCAAAACTCAATATACAGCGACTAAAATTTTTTTTTGTCGCCAATTCTAGTATTTTTAGCGACTAAATTATCTTTTAGTCGCCAATAATCAATAAATCCCGACTAAAAAAATTTAGTAGCTAAATTTTATACTTTTGGCGACCAAAAAAAAGTTTTAGTTGCCAATTCCAAAACTTTTGGCGACTAAATTTGTTTAGTCGCCAATTTTAGTCGCCAAAGATGTATTTTGTTGTAGTGATACGACTAGCTTTAAAAGAAATAACTTATACCAATGTAAACATTTAAACTGCAAAGTGAAAACATAAAACAAAATTGAAAAAAGTGAAAATCAATCATTTAAATTGTTCAATAGTAACAAAAATGATTGTTCAACTAACAAGTATTGTAACAAAAATAATAAATATACAATTAAATTTCGAAAAAATAAAACTTATACCAAAATATAATGTGAATGCTTACAATTTATAATTAATATACAACTAGTTTTTTTTTTTTTTAAAATGTAAACTCATACCAATGTGAACATCATAGTGCAACGTGAAAACATAAAATAAAATTGAAAAAAGTGAAAATCGACTATTTTGATTGTTCAATAGTAACAAAAATGATTGTTCAACCAACAAATATAGTAAAAAAAATAACAAAATACAACTAACTTCTGAAAAAATTTCAAAAAAAACTCATATCAAAATACATTGTGAACATTCATAATTTACAATTAACATATAACTAACCTTAGAAAAACTAAATTCATACCAATGTGAACATTTTACACTGCAACATGAAACAAAATTGAAAAGAAAAAAAAAGAGACTATTTCAATTATTTAATGGTAACAAAAAATTGATTGTTCAAACAACAAGTATAGTAACAAATAATTAATGATATGTGAATATTCACATCTTGCAAAATATATAATTATATCCATATTTATTTTCCAATACTTATTTCTCAGACTTTCAAACAATGTGAAATGTGAACATTTACACTGATTGACAAAAAAAATAAATAGAAATAATGGCAGTAATAGAATTAGAAATTCAAAAAAACTCAATCACTCTAAAAACAAAAAAAATATCACCCACATCCTTATCTTCATCATCATCTTTATCATTATCACTATTATTAACAATCCATGCAATTTCACCATTCCACCAATCAAAATCAAATCAAATCCACATTCACATCTTGCAAAATATATAATTATATCCATATTTATTTTCCAATACTTATTTCTTAGACTTTCAAACAATGTGAAATGTGAACATTTACATTGATTGACAAAAAAAATAAATAGAAATAATGACAGTAATAGAATTAGAAATTCAAAAAAACTCAATCACTCTAAAAACAAAAAAAATATCACCCACATCCTTATCTTCATCATCATCTTTATCATTATCACTATTATTAACAATCCATGCAATTTCACCATTCCACCAATCAAAATCAAATCAAATCCACCTTTGAAAAATATGTTTGTAACAAAGATGACTGTACATAAACAGAGTTTCGACTTACAATAATGGAGAAATATAGAGTTTCGAACACAGAGTAACAAAGGACGAACACAATTTTTCAAACACAAAGTGACAATGGAGAAACACAAAACTTTACCGCAATAATGAAGAAACACAAAACTGTGAATAATGATAACTACCAAAATAGAGGTAGCAACAAAAAAGAAATGTGTATATCATTTTTTTATGTAATTCATATCAATAATAGACATAACGGTATAATAATCCAATAAATAATATAAATTAGGAAAAAAAGACTTTATGGAATTAAAGTATAAATACATGGGACTAACTAAGTTATAATTTTCTTTGGTGGACTTATTGAGTTAGAACACCTCTAAATGAGATTTATCAATAAAAAAAATCCTATAATTACCTGTTAGAAATTTTACAAGTAGGATGTGAAATAATGAAATGAAAATTTAATAAGATAGTGATGGTTTAGTTTTAATTTATGTAAATGATTTTGAGACATAAATTTTAGGGGTAAATTATACTGATATTCTCTGAGATTTGATCTGATTACATCTCACTTCCTAATGTTATGGAAATTACATTCTTACCATTGCAGTTAACAGTCTCAATTCACAAACCCCTGCTTATATAAAAGGTAACAACTCTTAGTAGAAAATCATAAAAAATTACATTGAAAAAAAAAGTAAATAAAAGGAAAGAAAAAAAAAAAAAAAGAAGAAAAGCAATGCCAAAAAAAAAAAAAAAAAAAAAAAGGAAAAAATTCCTTTCATAGATGTATGTATATATGTTTGTAATCTGTAAATTACTGTTAAACGTGTAAAAAAGCAAAAAGAATTAAAACAAAACTTTTATCTTTTTGTATTGATTTTTAATTTTTTTGGGACTAATTTAGGTGTATTTTGACAATTAAAAAAAAAGTCAATTTATTGACTTATTGATTTATTTGGGTTAAATCACATTTTTATTTATTTTTATATGTTATAAAAAAAATCAAAAAGTTAAGAAAAAAAAGTCAATTTCAAAAATAGGTTAATCAGTTTTTAAACATGGCCTCAATTTGCACATTAAATTTGTCTGGAAAGAAAAAATTGTATGAAAAGAAAACTGAAGCAGAAGTTTTTTAGTGAAAAATATTAAAGATGGTGGAAGCACATCTAAACTATGGAGAGGTCTAAGATGGCGCTAAAAGATGGAGGAAAAGTTTCTAAAATTCCTTGCATTGTATATGAAGGTGATGGAAAGATTAATTGTTAAGGTTGTAAAGAAATAAGAGTGAAAGGGAAGGAAAAAAAATAAAATAAAAAAAGCTATTAAATAGTTGGAGAATATCACTTAAGATTATTTATATACTATTTTGAATCATTATATAAATGATGTCACATAATATTAGCGAGACAATGAGCTAACTGTCTTCCTCTTTGTTGAATTTGAATTTCAAGATTCTTGCCGCTAGTGCGTAATAATAATGCAAAAGAAGATAACCAAACCAAGTAATCATTTACCCGAAACAGGTAAAACATGTTACTTGTTTTTATTTGTTTAGATTGGTAGGTCAAAGGATTTTTAACTTTTCAATAATGTCATTATTTCACATTTGACCTGGTGAAAAGTTCTTTGGAATGTAGGTTAATTTTTGGAAAATTTATTCATAAGTCTTAATTTCTGAAAAGTTGAACTATTTAGTCCTAAAAGTTTTTTTATGCTCCATTTAGTCCCATTTGCACATCAATCTAATGTTTGAAACATTAATCTGATGTTCGAAATCTAATGTTCGAAACATTAATCTGATGTTCGAAATCTAATGTTCGAAACATTAATCTGATGTTCGAAATCTAATGTTCGAAACATTAATCTGATGTTCGAAATCTAATGTTCGAAACATTAATCTGATGTTCGAAATCTAATGTTCGAAACATTAATCTGATGTTCGAAATCTAATGTTCGAAACATTAATCTGATGTTCGAAATCTAATGTTCGAAACATTAATCTGATGTTTGAAATCTAATGTTCGAAACATTAATCTGATGTTCGAAATCTAATGTTCGAAACATTAATCTGATGTTTGAAATCTAATGTTCGAAACATTAATCTGATGTTCGAAATCTAATGTTCGAAACATTAATCTGATGTTTGAAATCTAATGTTCGAAACATTAATCTGATGTTCGAAATCTAATGTTCGAAACATTAATCTGATGTTTGAAATCTAATGTTCGAAACATTAATCTGATGTTCGAAATCTAATGTTCGAAACATTAATCTGATGTTTGAAATCTAATGTTCGAAACATTAATCTGATGTTCGAAATCTAATGTTCGAAACATTAATCTGATGTTTGAAATCTAATGTTCGAAACATTAATCTGATGTTCGAAATCTAATGTTCGAAACATTAATCTGATGTTTGAAATCTAATGTTCGAAACATTAATCTGATGTTCGAAATCTAATGTTCGAAACATTAATCTGATGTTTGAAATCTAATGTTCGAAACATTAATCTGATGTTCGAAATCTAATGTTCGAAACATTAATCTGATGTTTGAAATCTAATGTTCGAAACATTAATCTGATGTTCGAAATCTAATGTTCGAAACATTAATCTGATGTTTGAAATCTAATGTTCGAAACATTAATCTGATGTTCGAAATCTAATGTTCGAAACATTAATCTGATGTTTGAAATCTAATGTTCGAAACATTAATCTGATGTTCGAAATCTAATGTTCGAAACATTAATCTGATGTTTGAAATCTAATGTTCGAAACATTAATCTGATGTTCGAAATCTAATGTTCGAAACATTAATCTGATGTTTGAAATCTAATGTTCGAAACATTAATCTGATGTTCGAAATCTAATGTTCGAAACATTAATCTGATGTTTGAAATCTAATGTTCGAAACATTAATCTGATGTTCGAAATCTAATGTTCGAAACATTAATCTGATGTTTGAAATCTAATGTTCGAAACATTAATCTGATGTTCGAAATCTAATGTTCGAAACATTAATCTGATGTTTGAAATCTAATGTTCGAAACATTAATCTGATGTTCGAAATCTAATGTTCGAAACATTAATCTGATGTTTGAAATCTAATGTTCGAAACATTAATCTGATGTTCGAAATCTAATGTTCGAAACATTAATCTGATGTTTGAAATCTAATGTTCGAAACATTAATCTGATGTTCGAAATCTAATGTTCGAAACATTAATCTGATGTTTGAAATCTAATGTTCGAAACATTAATCTGATGTTCGAAATCTAATGTTCGAAACATTAATCTGATGTTTGAAATCTAATGTTCGAAACATTAATCTGATGTTCGAAATCTAATGTTCGAAACATTAATCTGATGTTTGAAATCTAATGTTCGAAACATTAATCTGATGTTCGAAATCTAATGTTCGAAACATTAATCTGATGTTTGAAATCTAATGTTCGAAACATTAATCTGATGTTCGAAATCTAATGTTCGAAACATTAATCTGATGTTTGAAATCTAATGTTCGAAACATTAATCTGATGTTCGAAATCTAATGTTCGAAACATTAATCTGATGTTTGAAATCTAATGTTCGAAACATTAATCTGATGTTCGAAATCTAATGTTCGAAACATTAATCTGATGTTTGAAATCTAATGTTCGAAACATTAATCTGATGTTCGAAATCTAATGTTCGAAACATTAATCTGATGTTTGAAATCTAATGTTCGAAACATTAATCTGATGTTCGAAATCTAATGTTCGAAACATTAATCTGATGTTTGAAATCTAATGTTCGAAACATTAATCTGATGTTCGAAATCTAATGTTCGAAACATTAATCTGATGTTTGAAATCTAATGTTCGAAACATTAATCTGATGTTCGAAATCTAATGTTCGAAACATTAATCTGATGTTTGAAATCTAATGTTCGAAACATTAATCTGATGTTCGAAATCTAATGTTCGAAACATTAATCTGATGTTTGAAATCTAATGTTCGAAACATTAATCTGATGTTCGAAATCTAATGTTCGAAACATTAATCTGATGTTTGAAATCTAATGTTCGAAACATTAATCTGATGTTCGAAATCTAATGTTCGAAACATTAATCTGATGTTTGAAATCTAATGTTCGAAACATTAATCTGATGTTCGAAATCTAATGTTCGAAACATTAATCTGATGTTTGAAATCTAATGTTCGAAACATTAATCTGATGTTCGAAATCTAATGTTCGAAACATTAATCTGATGTTTGAAATCTAATGTTCGAAACATTAATCTGATGTTCGAAATCTAATGTTCGAAACATTAATCTGATGTTTGAAATCTAATGTTCGAAACATTAATCTGATGTTCGAAATCTAATGTTCGAAACATTAATCTGATGTTTGAAATCTAATGTTCGAAACATTAATCTGATGTTCGAAATCTAAAATGGTTTGAGGATTCCGAAACAGTGGGAGGTCTAAGATTGTACTTGAGAGTAAATTAACAACCGATTGATGTTTCAATGAAAATTCTCTATAATTCTTTGAAATATGACAGGTTCTTATAGTTTATACAACTTTGGAGAGTGACTTGAGCACTTATTCCACAGAACAATGTTAGCTAGTTACATATCTAATAATGGTTCTAAATCAATCTTGAACTTGTTGGTGTTGATGTTGCTGCTTTTGTTGTGGATTTAGGGTTTTTTCCTTGTAAGGCTTTTGTTGTTTTTCATATTAGTGATGTGAGTTTTCCATTTCTTAGTTGTATTTTCCTCTCTCATCAGTTCTCACTCTCTACCAAACCTATGGATTTTTTTGCATATATATGCTTAGCATAGAAGTCGTATAACATTTGCTAGAATGCTTGTCTAAAGGATAAAAACACTATTGACATTGCTCTTTAAAGGCTAATGGCTCACTTGGCTACATATGTATGCCACCATAACCTGTTGAAAGTATGCGAAGCTGTATATTGCTTCGATTATTCCTGCAAATGGTTGGATTAACATATGGACTTTGGTTCTACTACTGTCACCCTTATGTCATAACTAGTTTGCACAGTGTTTTAAAAAGCGCGCTTAGGCGCACGCCTAAGCTCGAGGCGCAGCCTTGCGCCTCGAATAGGTCGAGGCGAGGCGCAAGAGGCAAGGCGCAGCTTAGGCGCTGAGGGGAGGGCTTTTTTTTGAGGCGCGAGGCGCGGGCTTCATGGGCTTTACCTTTTTTCTTTTTTCTTTTTTTGAAAAAAAAATAAAAAAAGTGCTTTTTTTGTGGGCATGCCTATAGGGATTCAAAATTTTTCAATATAAAATGACTAAATGTGGTCAAAAGAGAGCAAAAAGTGATACCTATTATATAATATATAATATACTTATATATAATATATAATATATAATTGATTCATATATATATATATATAATATTATATAATACCTATAATATCTATTATATAATATATAATATACTTATATAATATATAAAATATAATATATACTTATTTATAGTAATAAAAAAAATAAACACATGTATGTAAAATAAAATAAAAAAAATTAATTAAAACACATTATGTAAAAAATATAATAAATAAATAAAATAATATATATATTAAAAAAATTAATTATTTTTTTTCTTCTTCTCTTCTCTTCTTATTAAAAAAATTAATAATATACATATTAAATACTTTTTATGTTGAAAATTGTGTTATATTAATATTTTGCTTAACTTTTATAACTTGCGCCTCGCTTTGGTGAGGCGTGCGCCTCGCCTCGCGCCTTGGCGCTCAGGCTCCAGGTGACCTTGGCGCCTCGATGCGCCTAGGGCTTTTTAAAACACTGAGTTTGCATATACCAATAGTGTCATTCAATTCTTTGATATGTACTAATCACTTACATCATGTAAAGTACGTTGAAGCCGTATGGCATTCCCAGCATTTAATTGTAGATTTTCATGGTATAAGGTCACTTGTACACTATAAAGATATTATGGCCTCCAAATATAACTAGTTACTTAGTTGCAAAGGTAAAGCATGAGTTTGACTTTGCAAAGGTAAAGCATGAGCTTGATCTCTAAGAGGCAAGCCACCATAGCGCCAGACCCTAGCATTTACTTAAAGAAACAAGGCACTATGGTACCAAATCATAATGAACATTGGTATATAGATCTCCAGTGGCGAGCCTTGACGGCATCACAACATCTCTATTGATTGATATCTCCACGGGTAGCCATCATAGTGCCACCATATCTCCATAGATTGATTATTGAGTTTATGAGCCTAACTTAATTGGGGGCACATAAACCGTCAAGACTGCTATCTCCAACACGATAGTCATGAGCCTAGCCTAAGCGGGGGCACATGAACTACCAAGATTTCCATGCTAGCAATCTTCTACATTCATGAGCCTAGTTTAAATGGGGCACACAAACTATTAGGATCGCCATGATAGTAATCTCCCACCAAGCCATGATCCCTCTAGGCCTTGTTTCTTTCAAAAGTGATCGACTAATACGCTTGGCACTTTGCTTGCAAGTCGCTCACTCTGGAAAAAAGTAACAAACATACTACCTTAGCTCTCCCCTATGCATCTTCCATCTTGGATCTCAAACCATGAATCCCTGCCATTAGTACCTCCCATTGGTGAGCCATAGTGGTGTGTTTTGTAAACTAAACCTTTTCTTGTCATGCTAGGAGAGAGATGATCAATGAGAAGATGAAGATTCTGCAAGACTTGGTCCCAGGATGTAACAAGGTATGTGATATTTTGTTGTTGATTTTAATTTTTATGGTTAAATAATTGTAGAAAATCTAAAAAACTCTTGACCAAAAATAGAAAACCATTTGTTGGAAATCTACAAGTATAGTTCAACTTTAATTTTGCCTTGCCATTGTATTCTTCTTGTGTATCCACATAATTTTTATTTGATTAGGTTATTGGGAAAGAACTCATAATTAATTACATGCAGTTACTACAACATCAGGTTGAGGTAACTATATTTATCTCGACATTGTTTATTGTCATTTTATGTCATTCACAGTGGTCCCACTGTAGAAGCTGATTCTTTTTTCCTTTTTTTTTTAATCACCCTAACTTGGATTTGATAGTTCTTGTCAATGAAGCGTGATGAAATTACTATGCTTATGTTTTAAAATTATTATTGTTTTTATGCCTTACTATAATGCTTATGTTTTTAACTCATTGTTATAGAAACTACTACTTGTCATTGGAAAACTGATAGAAGCTGTTGTTGCAAAAGGTGGTGATTCTGTTCATTATGGAAGAGGGTTCAATTTGGTCAAAGGAGGAACTACTGCTAAGCAGTAACCTGATTCCTTATGATATTATATCTGAAGTCTAGGTTAAAGATAGATTTTTTCCAATAGGTCTTTTAGGAGGTGTTGCCATTGAGCACCTTGTATCAAATTAGCTCTTCCGTACTTGCTTGCTTGAAGTTTGATAGCTTCATTTAATTGCTTATTTTCTGGAAGTTGGAACATATGTTAGTTTGCATCATGCAGATACCTAAAAGCAAAACTACCAACTCTTTAGAGAAGGATATTGAAATTCCTTATTACTAATTTGTGAATATTAGCTCTTATTTTTTAAAGATAGTTTCTGTGTGTCCAACCTTTGATGAAATGATATCCTTAGAATCCAATAATATCTTTGGAGTTTCTGTCCTGTTCTGAACTCCCTCCCTGGGTAAGAAGAGAAGAGAAAGCGTCTAAAAAGGGAAAATGACCATAGTGTTTGATTCTTGGATGGCCTATTTTCTTTTTAATAAGCTTCTCCTTAGATGGCTTCTCACCCATATTTCAGTTGGTCCGGAGGCTTCTGGAGCAAACTTCTTGTGCATTACTAAATGCGTAGTGGTTGCATCTTGTGCAATCTAAAAGGCGAGAAATTTTTCTGTGCCAATAGGGTACCATGTGACACTACCTTTCACTAATCACAAATGTATATGTCCACTATTGTTCCTCAAACACTCAACATAAATATAGTGGACCCTACTGTCAAAGCCAATTACAATAATAGAATGTACCACATGGCATGTATCCTGTCCGCATACAAAAATTTCTCCTAAAAGGCATGTAGTTTCTTATGTATTAAAATATTTTCTTTACATTGATGCTTGATATATTTAGAAGCTTCTTGTAACAAGTCTCAAACCTCCATTCTCAAATGAATCTCACTTGAGCATTGTAATTGCTATACTATTTGAAGTGTGACCTAAACTATGTTCATGATCATTTACAATGTTGATGGAATCTACTCAGTAAAGTATTCCATACTTGTCATCAATTCTTTTAGATTCTCTACGCACTTGATGGCAATTTTTTCAACGTAAGTTGACATTTTATCATATTTTCTAACCACTCTAAATTAATAGTTTGCAGAAAGGCATGGATGGTTAGTATAAATGACCTAAAAAAGAATTATCAAAATGCAGAAACATCACTTGAGTATTGTGTTTTGCGAACAATAAATTTACCTTTTTGGCCCTAAAATTTGTAAAATGGTAGGTCATTTATGTTTCTAATAAAAAAGAGTATACAAGTGATCAACTTAAATAATCTAATTAATTTACATTTTTTTCCACAATCTTTTCATTTCAACATTTGACCCGTGCCTTGCATGGGCCTTTTTTATATTAGTATATTATAATATTATAAGTGAACCATGATTCGCATAAGTAGTTGTAGAATTTAGATTGTAGAATACCAAACCTATCCGATATCTTGCTTTTTTTTTTTCATAAGGATTTATATATATATATATATATATATTGTGGTTTTTCTTCCAACTTCTATATATTTTCAACTTAATTTGTTTATTTATTTTTCTTTCTTTGTTATGATTACACAATTTGAGATGTGATTTTAGAATTTTAGTTATTTTTTCATAATTTTACGATCGAACAGTTTCAATAGTTGTGTTTGTTCTTCTGCTCACTAGAGATTATGTTTCAGATGGGACCAAATCAAAGATCTGAGAAGATCCTCTCTACTCTCCAATCCAAGAAAAATTCTTCTTAGAGGAAGGTATCAAAACCTTTTCCCAAGCAAATCTTTCAGAATTTTACTGCAAAGAATTATTCCAGACTGAGCTACTCCCTGCAGAAAAAAGAGATGATGAACCACTTGATGATCGACTCCCTCTCTTTGTGGGCTTGAGCAAAACCTGGAATTTTTGTGTTTTGGAATTAATTTTGGGTTGATTTGTAGGGGGGGTTTTATGTCAGAAATTATAAAGTTAATTTCAGAACTGAATTGATGTATATGAAATGAACTATTTCCATGGATTGTGGGTGCTTGATGCCACTGTGACAAAAAATTATATGAGAAATACTAGAGGGAAGGGATCACTAAGGCCCTGTTTGATTTCAGAACATAAAGGATGAGATTAGATATTATATGTTGTGGGGTTCATTTATCCCATGTTTGCAATTGTTTTTTTGAAGAGGATATAATATACAATGGGATTGTATATCTTTCAAAATTGGAGGATATACAATACCACCATCCCCCATTATATCATATCTCCTAGGTTGGGATATGATTTAAAATGTCCAATTTACCCTCTAGTCTATCTAATTTTTTGAATTTAATATAATATAATTTTTTTATTATTATCAGATTAACATTAATATAATATAATTTCTTTTTTGTTTGGAAAAATTATTGAATTTAATATGAATCTTTAATTATAAAAAATAATATGAATTTTTAATTTATTTATTTGCATTAGTTTTGAATTTTGAATTTGTTTGTTTGCATTAGTTCCAATATGCGTATTTAAAATATATTATGAGGACAATCTTGGAAATTACTTGTTTATATCCAACGATATATTTTGTAAACAAATATAGATAATATATATCTAGTTTTATATAAAAGTTACAAAACATGAATTGGGAGATATATTATACAATACATATATCTTATTCATTATATATTTTGATTAAATCTCACATCATATTATATTTTTCATTTTATATCTAGTGAAACAAACAGGGCCTAATTTTCTGCTTGCTTAAACCAGGTACACAGTTATAAAGTTTAAGGCTCAAATCCATTTGGAGTGATTTTTTAAGGATAGAGAAGCCCAAACGTGGATTTGGGTTTTACTAGCTGATTAGGCCCATTTGTAATTCCCATAGGTGGCCCATTTTGGTTTGATCTCCCTAGCACCCAAAGTATGGGTAATGAGTGCCATTTTGGGAAGACATCAAAAACGCCACGTTTTTAGCTTGTGAAGAAAAACGCCAGCAGTCGAAAACGCCGGGACTTGCATTTGGGAAGTGACAAAAAAGCTACGTTGTGAAATTACCTAAATACCCTCCATGTTAACAAATTACTTAAAATTCTAAAGTTTGGCAAGGGTATGTTGGTCATTTTATTTTTATTTGATACCATAAATAAATATTAAATCAAAAATCAAAAAAGTCATCTTTTTACTAACTTCCCAAATCACCTCCAAAAAAGCCAAAAAACTTGGTAAAAAGCCAAAAGCTAGCTTTTTACCAACTTTTCAAAACACCCCAAAAAAATAAAATAAAAAAAGGAGTTACTTTAATTATTTGAATTTGTAAATTGTATAAAAAAAAATTTTCAAATTCTAAGAAAAATCAGTATAATTTACAAGGAAAAAAAAAAAGAAAAAAGATTGTGATGAATTTTTGGTTGGTTGAGTACCATTGATGTATGTAACAGATGTCATGAAATGCACGTACAACAATATTGTCAATCAAAGTCTATAATTAATATTAATGAGTTGTTGATGAGTATCATCAAACCCTTGAGCTCTCATATTTTATAACACACTGTCACCAGGTTTTTGTATATTTAATTATGCAATATTGTTTGCCAACATAGTTGATGTGTCTGTCTTAGATTCGCTCCCACAACCTTGTGTCTTTAAGAAATAAATGACACTGGCCATATTGTCACTCAAAAATTAAACTAAAAGCACTAAAGTCTTACTTTTTAACCGATAATAATAAGTAACAATTGATCATAAAATAATTTTTAGTAAGCCATAGAGAAGGCTGACTTTCAAAATCAAGCAAATTCAACAATCAAGGGTTTGTAAGGTCTATCGTGAGTTTTTTAAAGTGCTCATGAGTATATATTTTTGGGTAAGTAATGCTCAGTATATATTATTAATGAAAAATATTAGATTGATTTAATATATATATATATATATATATATATTTTTATAGAAAAAATGTTATATTACATAAATAAATTCATACACAACATAAAATGTCCAAGTAGACTCAACATACATTACAAAAGTATAATTATTCAGTAGAGCATGGACATATGGTATTTTATAATATTATGATTGGTGGAGAAGGTAAATAGGTGGAGTATTGTATTGGGTGATTGAGGAATGTGAGGGGATATATTGAGAGATAATTGGTTAGGAAGTACAAACACGTGGTACTTCGAAAATATTTAATAATTTCCCATTACAAAATCATAAAATTATTGGAAGAAATTTTTGGCCTTCCCAAAATAATCAATTTATATTGTCTAATTTTAACCATTTATGTAATACATATCATGTGTATTATAGTATGACCATCAATTTATTAAATGAAAAACTTACATAAATATTCATAAACCAAATTATGGGATTTATAATTTTACCGCATTATTCAACCCAATCAGCTGGTAACTTCTAAAACTCTGAAGATTGATAGTTTCGTTTCAATTATTTAAACCGTTCATTTATTAGATCATTTGTGCATATTATTTACACAAAATTAAGTTAATCGAATAATCCATAACTTATTCAATTTATCTTTAAAAAAAATAATAACTTAGACAAGAATTCTTATATGATTTATAATGTTACCTCATCAATTCACACTGTTTATCCATTCACACGAATTCTATTCCTACATGAAGTCAAATAGGTTGTTTGGGAAGTACACATTAACTATATATATACAGACAATTGTATTACCATTCCTTCTCACTACTCTCTTCATACGTAAAATTCTATTTCCCTCACCAATTCATTGTCCAAGAAGAGAAAGAAAAGGTGATAGAACTCATCATGACAATCCCACTCGGCTTTAAGTTTTTTCCGTCTGATCAAGAGTTAATTCATTATCTTCTCCAAAAATCGACCGCAAGACCTTTGCCTTGTGACAATGTGATTAAGGACTATGACCTTTACGGCGAAAAAGAGCCTTCGACGATATTTGATGGAGCAGAAGCGAATATTCATTATATTTTTACTATATTGAAGAAGAAGACTAAAAAGGGTGCCCGGGTTGATCGAACGGCTGGGACAGGAACGTGGAAAGGCGTCGATGCAAGCAAGTCTATATATGATGGCAATCGGAGACTGATAGGGTCTAAGAAAAACTTCGTATACTTGACAAATTCTAAGACCAAAGGAGGATGGAATATGGTAGAATACAATCTAGATGGCATAGCAGAGAAACATGCACTCAAACTTGGAAAGGTAATTATTTTTTTTCCTCTAACCCTAATATGCATGCATGCACTACGTAATATATATTGTAAAGATTTATATGACTTTGTTGGTTTCAATTTTATTTTATTCGGTTGTGTTTTTTTATTTGTTGTTTATGTTTCGATCGGTTGTAATAGTGTTGGTGGATCTCGGTGGAGTCCTGCCTTAGTTGTTAAACATGAAGAAACGACAATTATCTCTCAATTTTGTAACCTAAGGATGAATTAAAAATTGTGCGTTAAATATATTCTTTTTTCTTTTCTTTTCTTTTCTTTTTTTTGTGTCAAAACACTCACAACTATCAAATAGGAACAAAAATTTTGAAATACAATCTAACAATTGTGAATTTTTCAAGAGAATGAGATAAAGAGATTTGGATAAATGAAGATATGGGTATATTACTTCAATGGATTTGCAGAAACGTATTGTGATAATGGTGGATGGCCGTTGTACAGTTCCTAGGGGGAATGAGAGTTGTAGTTTAGCCAGACTTATTAAGCTCAAGAGACTTTTCTATTGGATGTCCCATTTTGATTTAAATTCTTTTTTTCTTTAATCTAACTTTTGGTCATCTTCTTGACTTGTTTTTATGATTATTATTATTATTATTTGTGTAAATTTTCCAAATGTATTGATTAAATTCTCGTGCTAAGCATATGTGTGAATTGCCATCTTTATGATTGCGATGTATCATTTATGTTTATATTAATTGGTATCATGCATGGTGTAAAAATATACAACTACATGACCTATTAATTTAACCAAGTTTAATTAAACATTCAATTGGAGTCAAGTTAAACAACACTTGCACTTTCTAATTTCTGTAAAAAATGTAAATAAGAATTTGATTAGATTAGTTCAATCAAATTTAGTTTCTAATTTTGTTTTCTTAAAAAAAAAATTATATAAATTGAATATCGATTTAAATCACTTGTTCATTCTGTGCAGGTCACAGATTATGTTATTTGCCGCGTCACAAAAAATGCAATTAGCAAAAATCGAATCAGGGAAGAGGGTCAAGTAATGTTGCGAATGCCAGAACAAGAAGAAATGGAAGGAGGTCCACCAATATCAAAAGAAATTAATAATACGACTATTAGGTCAACAAGTGGAGCATATCAAGTGGTGGAGTATCTAGACAACAGAGCATACATGGATACTGGATCAGCAATGGTATCAACAATGGCAATGTTGCCAGCACCCCAACAAATAGAAGGAGGTCCAACAATGGTAGTACCAAGTTCTCAAGAAATTAACAATACATTTAGTGACGCATATCAAGTGGAGGAACATCTAGCCAACAGTGCATATGCCGATATTGGATCAGCAACAGCCCAATTAGCATCATATCAAGAAATGAAAGAAGGTCCACCAATATCACAAGAAAATAACCGTATGATTATTGGCTCAACAAGCGGAACATATCAAGCGGAGGAGCATGCACATACTGGTACCGAATCAATAATGGCACAATTGCCATCATCATCAACACCACCTCTTAGCAATGCACCTCAACCATCAATGGATATGAATATGAATATGATGATGGGATTCGGAAGCACATTCGACTTAGACATTGACATGTTTTTGGCTAATGCACTAGAACCATCATCGGGTATGATGATGGGATTCGGTAGTGCATTCAACCAAGAAGACATTGACTCGTTTTTGGCTTACTAATCTTGTTTTAAGAATGTCCGAATTTAAGATTTGTTTAAAATATTCTTTACAGTTGAATTATTATTATTATTGTTATTATTATTTTGAAGAGTTGAATTACTTGTGTAAGATAACAACACACCCTTTCACTCTATAATGGACATGTGATTAGGCCAGTTTATAACATGTATCTAGGCATTCTTCCTCATACTAGCATATCATTCTCGATTTCAAAATAAAATTGACAATCTTGAAAAATTATTTGACATAATATGTGGTATAATTGACCAATAAAAATTTGTAAAACACATTAAGCAAGCTTTCAACTACTTAATAAAGAGAGATTTGGACCCGGTGGCACAATTTGGAGGGAATAAGCCCTGAGCTAGGAAAGAGAATGGGATCTCTCTCTCTCTCTCTCTCTCTCTGTGGCACAATTGGGAGGGAATAAGCCCTGAGCTAGGAAACAGAATGGGATCCACACATATGAACGACATTACCATGCCACAAAGGAAGAGAACTCTTGGCCCTACCACTCCTAATAGGAAAGAGAATACTGAATGGTAGAAATTTTGATCTTACGTATAGAAAAAAGAATACAACGTTAACAATTGCAGAAGCAATATCACATGTAATGTGACCTGCTAAATCATAGATGCCATTTAGAATGTTACACAGCAATGACAATATAAAAGGAAGGTTAAAAATGTGAAACGTTGTCCTGTCTGCACAACAGCCACAAAGCATGCTTTCCCAATTCAAAGGATAGCGCATGAGCATGAATTCTGCTTATGATTCTTCTCCTGGTTCTTGTCTGCATTGTGTACCCAAAATGAGAGCAGAAAAATTAATATTGTAATGGCAAATTTTAGAAACTCTAATGGTTGCCATAGAAACAGATACTTCAAACAAAAAAGTAACAATTGTGACAATACAATGAGTAGACATATAATAAAATCCATTTTCAAAATTAAAAGATTTCACTACAATGCAGGAGACAATTGACTCAAAAATTCATAGGCTACACGTATTTCCTTGCACTATTCCAGACGGTTTCACAATTACAAGCTTTGTAAATTAAATGGTAACAATACTCTGTTCTGTTAAAGCCATTGAAAACTCTACCTCTAGAAATCTCTGAGTTACAAGCTTCGTAAATTAAATCGTAACAATACTCTGTTCTGTTATAAATTAAATCGTAACAATACTCTGTTCTGTTAAAGCCATTGAAAACTCTACCTCTAGAAATCTCTAAGCACATAAATAGACTCATTAGGATAGTAAAGATAAATGCTTAGTTAGTCATGCCAGAGGGTCACAAGTTACATTGACACTCGTGTAAAAACAAATAGTTGGCAGCATCTTAATGTAACAAACTTCTTGATCCATGCTTATAGGCATAACATAACTATTCTATGAGATTAGTATTTCTATCCTAACAAGTCTAATTTGAAGAGATAATATAACGAATATGATGAAAATTTGAAGTCATTAGATTGAGTAATGCATGCATGTTTATCATCTTTGAAGTATGGGTTCCAAAATGAAGATCCTTAAAAGAATTAAATGGGGTGAATTACGCTAACGGTCCCTATAGTTTGAAACTTGTATCATTTTGATCCCTGACTTTTCAATTGTGACACATTTGAACCTAAATTTTGAATCTTGTTCCAAATAAGGACAATTGAATATACTATTGGATTTTTCAAGGACAAAATTGTTAATTTGATAAAATATAAATTAATTTGACAAAAATAAATGTTAAAAAATTATTTTTGAATTTTTAAAAATTATTTCTACCTACTAAAGATAAAATTATATAAAATCGATAAATCTTTTAGACATTTATTTCTTTTTTTTTACCAAATTAATTTTTATTATGTATTTGGATGATGATCATGTAAAATTAATTTTTTAAAATTAATCATGTAATTTTTATTAATTTTTATCAATTTTACATAATTTTATTTTTGTCAAATTAGTTTATATTTTATCAAACTGACGATTTTGCCCTTGAAATTAAGCAATTGTATGTTAATTGTCCTTATTTGGAACAAGATTCAAAATTCAGGGTCAAATGTGTCATAATTGAAAAGTTAACGACTAAAGTGATAGAAGCCCTAAACTATAGGGACTGTTAGTGTAATTTGCCCAATTAAATATTATCTGATAACTTTCTATTAGATTGAAAATTAATTCATGCTAATTCTCAGGGTAAAGCTATCCAATAATTGAAACCAGGTACTAGTTCTCACTAAGGTCCCTCACTAAAAACTACTAGTAACTTCACAGTTATGTTATGCCTATAAGCTGTCCAATACCCCTGAGTCTGCACCTGTAAATGATAGAAATAGGATACCCAAAATAAAGAGGCATTTCTTGCTGCTATACTCTCGAAAGTCAAAACTTGATAGAATTAACCCTGAAAATTTTCTTAAATCTAAAATTCTACATGAAATATATATATATAAATCTCAGGGAAAAGAAACTAAAACAAACCTGTCTTCTTTTTTGGGACAGGAGGCTGCACCACAACATGCATAGTACTAACGCCACCAGGAAGGTCACCAAAATGTACTCTGGATTCTGCCAGCGTCTTGCCATTCTCCAAAACTTTGCCAGCATGTATGAGTTTTATATCACTTACTGACTTGGGTACAACTGATTTATCTGTTAAACAGAAGGCCACTTTAGAACTGAACCATTTAGCATTGAAAGTCAAAAATACAAAGTGGGTCTCAAAAACGAGTTAACATGCCTGTGAACATGTGATGCACCCACACTCGGACATGCATATGCATAGAGTGTATAAACATTTCACGAACTAATGCATTACTTGCTAACGGAAGTCCATGGATGTGATTTGTAAAACAGTTCAATGAGTTCATCAACAAATGTCCTTGGAAAGATGTCCAAATAAAGCAAGAATCATAAGGTCCAGCAACATATACACCCATGGAAGAGATAAAAAGAATTACAATCTATAAATTGAATGGAAATTCTTCTCCAGTACAAAAGAATAGGGGAAAAAAAAAAGGAGAGAAGAAAAAAACAAAATGAAATCAAAGATCAATAACGCAATAGATCAAATTTCAACCTTCTCAGGTTATAATCAAAATTTTCCTTCCTCTTCCCCAAAGATTATGCGTTGAATACATTGTAGAACCTAAAAACTCATACAATACTGCACTTCCATGTTACAAGACACTAACTCCAATGGCACTTTATAATTTTAAAATTTTGCCAAAACATCAATATAATCCGATAAGTAACACTCGAACTAAAGATTGTTCATACGTTATTCTAACTAACTATTTTCTTGTCTAATAAAATGGAAACAAACTTTTATCAATCTGGTGTGAGCTTTATGGGCGGGTTACACCTCCCAGAAGAAAGACATTTTTCTAAGGCCCCTTCCCCCTGCCACCCACCCACATGCATGCCAAGAGAGACGGTCTAAACGAAGTGGGTTTTAATTGGTAAACCTCTGCCAAAACGTCTTCCTAAAATGCATGAGAAAGAAACGGAATAAATAGAAAGATAACTTTTTTTTTTTTTGATCGACAAAGAAAAACTTTATTGATGAAAGCAACCAAAAAAGATAGACTACATCAATAAAGAGGAGCTTAGAGCTAACACAAAGCTCCAAGCGCCAGTTGGTGAGAAACCAACAAAAAGAGAACAAAAGAAGCAGAAGAAAAAAACACAAAAACCAGAAAGAAAACAACTAAATGCTCTCAGTCTTTTGAGCTTAATCATGATTCTAAAACTAGCCCATCCCTGAATCTGTGCCTCCTCCCAGACCTTTTCCACTTCCTTCTTAAACTGAGGATGTGATGTCCAAGCATTAATAAATCGAAAAGGTTTTGGCCCCCAATCCCTTCCATCCTCCATAAGCAAAAATGGACAGTGATCTGAAATGACTCTAAGCAATCCCCATTGTTTAAATTTATTCCTCTCCAGCCAAACAGGATCCAGCAAAAACCTATCAATCCTACTCCACCTCTCCCCATCCAATGCATTACACCATGTGAATAATCTACCATGCATATTCAGATCAATTAATTCCAAGCTCTCTATAAAATTATTAAAGTCTTTCATACCCCTTTCCCTTCTTGAGCAACCTTTCCTCTCACTCATAACTCTAATCTCATTAAAATCACCACCCAGACACCAAGGGTTAGGATAAGAGAGTTTAAGATTTATAAGACTCTCCTAAAGTTTCCTCCTCTTCAATGCACCAGTCGGGGCATAAATATTGCAAATAACATAATGAAATGATTGAGATAAGATACCTGAGAGAAGAATGAAGTTCCTGGAACTGCAGCAGTCTATCAATTGAAAAGTTTGGGTGTTCCAAATGCAAAGGAGGCCACCTGCACTTCCTTCTGAACCCACCTCCATAAAACCCATATCATCCACAGGCCATAAGGACTTAACAAAATTACCATCAATAGCTTCTCTCTTAGTCTCCTGCAGCATCAAAACATCTACTAATTTTGCTCTCACCAATGCCTTAATTCTACTCCTTTTTTCAGGTCGTCTAAGACCCCTAACATTCCATGACATGATCTTCATTAAAAAACCTTCAACGCAGCATCTATTCTCCTTCATTTTTCCAGCAACTTAATCTGTCTTTACCCTTCCTTTAACTCTTTCCAAATCTTTCTCCTCCAGCTCCATTATTTTGGCCACCACTTCCTCTTCATTCCCTTCACAGTTTAGCCCTAATGCCTTCCCGACCTCAATCGTAGCTTGGGCTTCCTTAAGTATCTTTCTTCTCCTTTGGGAACTGTTGCTTTGTGACGCTTGTAGAGACATAGCAGCTGCTGCCGCTCGAAAGATCACTCCACCTCTGAGATAGTTGCTGAATAGGATCCCCTTCTGTTTTGGTTGGCCACCCTGCTTCATTCTTTCTTTCCCCTTTTCACTGCCTTTCCTCTTCAGATCAGACTTCCTTTTTGATCTAGCCTGAGCTTGCTGAGATGGGCCCCCCTTATCGTGATTAAATTTCTGGGCTACAGCTTCCCCTACCGCCATAAACTGTGACTGGGCTATGCAGTCACTTAAATTAGAATTAACTTCCCATCTTGGCCCATTAATTATAGGCTGAACTTGGGCTCCATGTAGCACAACTTCTAAATTTATGTTGGGCCTGCCACACTCCAACCCAGTTGAACTATACATAATACCTTTATTACATTCCAGATCTTCCACCCGTTGCTTTATCCCATTCTCCACAGACCTTGAGCAGACCGCCTGCACCACCCTTTCTTTCCCTAGAACACGCTCAGTTACTTTATCAGCTACTCCAGACATACAATGATAGCCTCCATCCACAGCTACTAAAGCTCTTTCGGCTGTGTGTGTTCCATTGATTGACACGTCATCAGTTTGTGCCACATCCTCATCATTGTCCTCCTCTGCAACTAAACCGACTTCACCTTCATCCCCACCTTCAACACCATTACCAGCTACCTCTGGATGAACATGATCAACTTGACACCTGCGTTTGGACAAGTATTCACTCTCATTGTTCATATTGGATTCCATTACTTCATTTTTGTGGCAGCTATAGTCACCATTGCATTGACAGATACTGACTAACGGCTCTTCAAACACTCGCACTTGATAATCCCTCACATTTCCTGCTAGATTAATTACCGCATTGATGGGCTCCATCCTTTTTGTAATAATCCTAACTTTGCCGAACATAAAGTGTTTGCCTCCCACTGTATCTTCATCATACTACACCACTTCTCCCCATACCTTGCCAATGGCTTCAAAAGTTTTGATACTCCAGAGATTGAGAGGAACTCCCATACAAGTGAGCCAAATACACCTTTCACATTCCAAAAACTTCCCTTCTTCCCATTCAACTACTTCATCACTCCAGTCATGTCAGGCCTCAAGATTAATTTTCATAAAAGTATTGTTTGTGGTATTGGAGTGGAAGAAGAGTTAGTTAAGGAGTTTGCTAATAACCTGAATTGCCTCAGTCAGAGTCTACCTTTGTCATATCTTGGCTTACCTTTAGGGGCCAATCCAAGGAAGAAAAGTACTTGGAAACCAGTGATGGAGAAGTTTAAAAAGAAATTAGCATCTTAGAAGAGGAGATTCTTGTCCTTTGCCGGTAGAGTGACCCTAATTAAGTCTGGATTGTCAAATCTTCCAGTGTATTTTCTATCTATCTTCAAATTGCCTATTGGTGTTGCTAAAACAATTGATAGGATCCAATCAAACTTCTTGTGGGGCGGTTCGGAAGTTCAAAGGAAAATTCACTTAGTACAATGGAAAGAGGTGTGTAAAAGTAAAGCCCAAGGGGGGTTGGGTGTGAGAAGTCTCAGTGATGTCAACGTCTGTTTAATGTTAAAATGGTGGTGGAGGTATAGTCATCAACAACAGTCACTATGGAAAATTGTGGTATGTAGCAGATATGGTGGGATTGGGGGCAGGTGGAAACCAGAAACAGTGTCAGCTGCAATGATATCTACAGTCTGGAAGGACATTGCATTATTAACTTCAGCAAACAGTGTAGTGGCGGAGTTTTTCTCACAAAACTTCAGGATTGTTTTGGGTAATGGGGAAAGGATTCATTTTTGGATGGATAGATGGTTCAATAATACGAGTCTTAGGAATGAATTTCCTAGACTATTTAGTTTATCAATGGAGAAGGAAGGTTCCTTGCAATTTTTTTACCAACGGAAAGGGCCGGGCAGTGATTGGAAGTTGGCATTTAGAAGATCACTTTTAGCTTGGGAGGAGGAGGAAGTTCATAGGCTAAATGTATTACTAGCAGAGGTACCTAATCTAAATCCTCTAACTGAGGATAACTGTTTGTGGAGAGCAAGTAATTCTGGAGTATTCTCTGTGGCATCAGTGTGGAAAAGGTTGGAATTAGTTAATGGATCCACATTTTCCATTTCAAAGTTCCTGTGGAAAAATGCAGCCCCCCCCGAAGGCTCAGTTCTTCAGCTGGTTAGCTTGGAAAAGGAGACTCAAAATAGCAGAATTCATGCAAAGGATTGGAGCTATACCTGCCAATGTCAGCCCACTATGTGTATTTTGCAAAGCAGAGGTAGAAACTATAAATCATGTGTTGCTTTTATGCCCATTGGTATGGAAGTTATGGTCTGAGTTGGTAAACTGGTGGGAAGTGCAGTGGGTAACACCAGGATCTGTGGTTATTTTGCTTGATTGGTGGTCTGGTATGAAATTCAGGAAGGAGTTCAATATTTGGAAGGTGGTCCCTTTGGCCATGCTTTGGTCCTTATGGAAACTCAGGAATGAATGCTTATTTAACAATGGTAATGCAGATTTTGCACAGGTAGTAGAGCTAATGAAAGTAAGAATTGCATTATGGATCAAGTCATATGTTAAAGGGGTGAATTACACAGTGCATGATATTGTCGCAAATTTGAAGCAGGTGAGAGGTTGTATCACATAGGGTTTTGGTTGATCTGTCATTATGCAGATTGGTAGCAGTGTGGGAAGTAGAAGATTTGTTTGTAGTAGTCTGGTCTGAAGCTCTTTCTCTAGTTCCAGTGAAGCTCCTTTAATAGATGGGTATTTTTGGCTGTTCTGTCAATTTGCAGATTGGTAACAGATGGGTTGAAGCAGATTGGTTTCTATGCAGATTGGTTGCAGAGTGGTATGTACCAGCTTGGTTCTGGTCTGTGAAGGCAGTGCAGAGGCCTGCTTGGTTCTGGTCTGTGAAGGCAGTGCATATGCCCTCTGTTAGCAAAGAAGTTTTGTGGGCTTGGTTGAAAGGTGGCTCTGTGTTAGCATAGGAGCTTTTGTGTGCTTGGATGAATTCTGGTTGGCTGGTAGCTTCTCCATCCTCTGCTGGTAGCTGCTGCAAGAATAATGGTGTGCTTGCCTGTATGCCCTGCTGCTGATCTACTTGCCTCACTGATGGTCTGCTTCTTGCCAGTGCGTGTGGTCTGTTGTCTGGATGTTCCAGCAGAGGGAT